TAACTGAGCAATGATCTCTCGCTTGGGTTTGGTGCTGATTCTCTCCCTTTTGATTTCCCAGGCTGTCAATGACACCAGTGACTGTTTGCTGACGAACAGAGCGCTGGAGAAGTATTATCTGCCCACCATGTACAGCCTGGAGTTCATCTTGGGCGTCATCGGAAACGCCATCGCGGTTTTCGGCTACGTTTTCTGCCTGAAAAAGTGGAAAAGCGGCAACATCTACCTGTTCAACCTGTCCATCTCGGATCTGCTGTTCCTGTGCACGCTGCCCGTGCTGGTGAGCAGCTACTCGCAGGAGCAGTGGGCGAGGGAGGGTGTCCTGTGCCACAGCAACCGGTTCCTGCTGCACGCCAACCTGTACAGCAGCGTGCTGTTCCTGACGGCGGTCAGCGCTGACCGCTGCCTGCTGGTCACCCGGCCCTTCGGGGAGCACCTCCTGCAGCGGAGGAGAGCGGCTGTGGCAGTGTCTGCTGCCATTTGGGGAGGGGTGATCCTGGAGCTGCTGCCGCTGCTGCATTTCCTGGAGCCCCCCGGCCCCAGCAATGATTACAAATGTCTGGACTACGCCAGCTCGGGGGASCCGGCCCACAGCCTCATCTACAGCCTCTTCCTGACGCTGTTTGGSTTCCTGATCCCGCTGCTGGCCATGTGCTGCTTCTACGTGCGCATGGTGCGCTTTCTGCAGAGCAGGAGGGAGCAGCCCAGCTCTGCCCTGGCGCTGCACAAACCCCTGGCCCTGGTGRTCCTCACCGTGCTCATCTTCTCGCTGCTCCTCACCCCGTACCACGTCATGCGCAATGTGCGCCTGGCGTCCCGAATCCCGGCCCTCAACGTGTCCCCCTGCACGCAGAGCACCATCAGCACCGTCTACGCCATCACCAGACCCTTCGCCTTCCTCAACAGTGCCATCAACCCCCTCTTCTATTTCCTGATGGGCGACCACTTCAGGGAGATGCTGGTGGCCAAGGCACGGCAGCTCTTGGGCAGGGTGGCCAGTGCCGGGAACTGAATGAGAGAGGGGAGAGAACGGTGATGGGAGAGCTCTGCGAGGGAGGGAGGGACGGGGAACTGCCTCAGGGGTGCAATGGGAACATTCCAGACACCTTTATTTATGCTGTAGGAT